AGAAGGCTCAGCCATTCATAAAAGGGCCACTGATAGAGGACTGCAGAATACAGAGCTGTTCTCCCCCCCCCCATGTCCTACAAGGGGGGTAGCTTCCTCCTCCTTGTAAACTTTGTCCTGTACTTTAGCTTGTTCTCCAAGGCCCAGGGACAAAACGCACATCCAATTTACCCCATTCTTCATTTTGTCCTCTCTCTCCTTAGAAATCATAACAGGAACTGAAAGCAACTTTGGGGTGCATCAGCTGCTGCAGCTTTTGCAAGAAGAAATGGGGATTATTTTTTGCTCCCTGCCCCCTATAACATGCTAATTGAACTGTGCCTCTTTTCTTGGGTGGGGGGAGAATGTTTGCAAATGTAAGATCTGCTTATGCAAGGGAAATCCTAACAGTTTGCAAGCGGCAAAGTGAATTCTTCCCTGCATTGGGCCTGCCTGAGCTAAGGAAAAGATCTCAGCAAGGTGAGAGCCACTGAGAGTCTGTGGAACTTTTGGCAAGGAGTTCAAACATTTGAAGAAGCGAAGGGGGAGGGAAGAGGAGGAGTGGTGGTGGTGAGAGAAAGCCCTACTATCTTTATAAGAGCAAATAATTTTCTGATTGGCCAATTGCAGGCAGTTTACCCTCCGCTTACACATTAACTTGCCTAGAGAGCACTGCAGTGATGCAGCCTATAGAACTTGCCTGGTCTATCAGAAGGTCAAGTGCTAAAGGACATGTGTGTGGCTTTCTGGAGGAGGAGGTTGGGCAACTGGGTGGTTGTCAAAGAAAAGTAGATGGAGATGGGGGGAGGCGGGAGAGAGAGAGGGAGAAGCAGCAGCAGCAGCAACAGCAGCAGCAACTTAATCCTGCACACTTCAAGGCCTTTCCAGTCCCTCTAGATTAATGTGGATCTAAATGCGCCATGCACACTTAAAAGGGCTACTTGGTTTAAGCTTTTCCTGGGCCACAGGATCTGTAAAACACACATTTACAGACACACCAATTCACTCCCAGAGAGAGAACAAGACTGAGCAGTGAGGGGGAAATGCAGGCAACACACTACCTCTGTTTTAGTCTCAGATTGAGGCCACAACTTTGTTTAAATGCCTGGCGACCTTTGCCCTGGCTCAGCACAGGTTTAAAAGCAGTACCTTGTAAAGTTTTACAGGACAGAGCCCACCTGCAAATTCAAACAGGGCCTAGTTCTCAGCAGTTTCCTGAGCCCCTCCTATTCGCCTCCCTCCACCTCCACCTGCAACTCCCCTGTCTCCCCCCCCCCCAATGCTGGTTGTAGTGTAGGGAACAGGTGAGTTGGTGGAGAGTTCACCCTCTCCTGCATGCTTTCCCAAAGTGATTTAAAAGCAAAACTACAGCTGGTGGAGTCCTGAGATCTTGAAAAACTGGATTGAGCATTCAGAAAAGTAGATCCCGAGTTCCATCCAGGAACTCAGGACGCAAATCCAGCTCACTCCCAGATACTATTGCAGTCAGTTTACACTACAGGAACACCACAGCATCAAGTGTTCTATGGAGGATTTTTGACAGTGACAAAGAAAAGGTCCCAACAGAAGTCTCCCTTTCTAGTCCTCAAGGGTAAAGCGCCAGATCCTTTTTTTCTTTGAAAAGTGGCAACCATTGTTGATACTTACTTATATTTCTCCTCTCCTGAGAAAGTTCACCAGAAAAATGGGCTAGCAAAATACACCATAAATGACTGAAACAAAAACACTTAAAATGGAATGGGGAGTAGTGTTGGGGGATGGGAGGAAGGAGGAGAGAGTGCGAATCTGGTGGAATTTTTGACTTCTTTTTTTGAATGGGCAAACTTCCCGCCCTACGCCATATCGCAAGCGGCATTTGAAAAACAATATCCTGTTTCAAAAGCAGTTTGCGATGCACATCATGGGGAAACAGGGTTAAACAGGGTTAAGCCCTCCCCCCTGCCCCTCTCAGTGGTGAATTAGTTTTGTGGTCCATTGGATTCTAGCCACATCTTTAAAATTCCCTGTAACATCAATAAAGAAATAGCTAAGAAGAAAAACCTAGGATGCACAGCCCAGTTTACCTGACTTCAATAAGAGGGTGCAAAATCCCCTCCTTTTGTTATATTCCACCATAAAACAATGAAAACCAAAGTCACAACTCTTACTTGAGACCTGTGGCTTAAATAATCATGGAAGGGGAAGAATCTGAACGCCTTTTAGAATGATTACAAAACCGAAAAGTTAAGCCTAGTACCCAAGAAGCCATGCTTCTTCACCTACCTGTGAGAAAACAGAGCTCTGGTGGGCAGCAATTCCCACCTTGCCTGAAACTTAGGCAGCCCATTCCTTTACCCATCTTATCTATTTAGTAGATAAACTGTGTTAGCAGACCACTCTCCCTCTCAACACCCCACCCAATATACTACTTTTAAAGAGCCGTCTTTACTTTTTGTTGATGGTGGTGAGGGAAGCTACAAACTAATGAAACTGAATATAGAATCAAAAATGCAGTTTATTATAGTAGATTATTCTTTCTTTTTGATATAACCGTAAAGTTGAAAAATGAAAGAAAGCACATAAGGAACATCACACATGGTTAGTTAGTAACTCAATATATAAAACAATTTTGCACAGCAAAATATGTAAAAGGGGAAAAAAGTAACTGACAAGATTTTTTTATATTTATTGTGGTAAGATTTACTTTCCATTTTTTAAAGACAGGATTATCACTCCCTGAAAATAAAATTTGCTGATTAATGCCTTTAAAACTTTGTGATTTTTGTGAAGTTACAGAAAATCCAGTTCTGCACCACAATACAACTGTAAAAAAATCTGCATCATTTAAAAAAACTGAGCAGTAATGCCATCTTTGTAACTGCATAAATCGTATTAGCATCCTAGACAGGTTTGTAATGGTTTATATTTTATGCTTCAGGTTATATCTTAGTGCAATTCAGTCCCAAATATTTCAATTTCAAAAAAAAGCCCCAAAACAAAACCCAACCATACATTTTGAACACAAAATACCCCTATTAATAATATAAAGAGGGGGGGGGCTCCCCTTTTAATACTTTGGTTTCCAAAAACAGTCAGTGGCATAGCAAGGTTACATTTACCCAACTTATACTTAAGTTGCAATCACATGCTGTATAAACTACTTTTTAAAAAACCAGTCCCGTTGTAAATTCTACCCCCTTTTAACATCAAGACAGTCAACAATTTAGTGCATCATTTTTAAAAAGGATCTACAGCTAAACAGACCTAACTCTTTTGAATGTATCTATAACATTTCTTTTTTCTGTAGCATACATTTGAACTGGTGCTAACAGACAATAAAAGCTAGAATTAAATTATATACCAGGAACCCAGAGCATTCCAACATTTGACAATGGCCAAAAGGAAAATAAAAACAAAAAATAGCAGAAATGGGGCAGATCATTCCAACATAAATTTTCGACTGCTTTAAGCAACAGCATAGTTTTCAAAACCCACAAATTGGAAGTGAATCTTTTTTTATGCGTAAGTTTTAAAACTTTCCCCCCAAAGTTCTTTTTGGAAATCATATTAAGGGTAATCACAATCCATTCTGGGCTTTTCTCTCTCTCCTTTTCTTTCTTTTTAAAGAAGGGATGTATCAATGCATTAAAAAGAAATCTGAAGTTCTGAGCAACTCAAAGCAGTTTCCAGAGTAGATGAAAACTTGAATGGGGAGGAAGAAGCCCCAAAAAGGTTGCACTTTTTTGTTTTCAGTTCAAAAAAGTGTTGAGGCAATAAAACTAAAAAGGATGAATGTCATGCCGTTACAGTCTCCGAAGTCCATATCCAAGCAAAAGAAAAAAAATATATACCATACATGTCCAGCATGCAGGGCTTTTATCAATATATTGTCTTTGTTTTCTCCCCATAGTCTTTTGAAACAGTTACATAGTTAATAGATGCTAAGACAAAATAGCAAGCATAATAAATGGATGAGATGAGTATGGGAATCTAATGGCATACTAAAAGTTTCACCATTTGGCAGGGCAAGGCCAAAACTCACATCATGAACACATGGGAGGTGGATGAGGGCTTCAATCTGGCAGGTTGATCTAGATATATTCTCTAGCTTTAGCACAACAGATGGAACTCAGCAAGCCAAAGTCTTAAAATAATTTTATAATAACTTTCCGTGTGTGTGTGTGTGTGTGTGTGTGTGTGTGTCTATTCCAGATTCAAAACCCATTTGAAGAACTCAGGGTGGTGAAAAGTAAAAGTAACTTTTTTTGTACTTTGAACACAGCAAACGTAAAAAGGGGAGGAAAAAAACACTTCATTGACACTATATATATATATATATATATATATGCAGGTTTTGGTGTCCTCGGGTGTCTTCCCGTGTAAAAGTTGGGGTGTCTAGGCGACGTTTCGACGAGGTCTCACTCGTCATCTTCAGGCTGGTGCTTTCGGCTTCTTGTTACCAGCCTGAAGATGACGAGTGAGACCTCGTCGAAACGTCGCCTAGACACCCCAACTTTTACACGGGAAGACACCCGAGGACACCAAAACCTGCATTCCTGTACCCGTGAAAATCTACGAAAGCAAATATATATATATATATATATATATATATATATATATATAGTGGAGGGCAGGTTTCAAAGGCTGAGCAAACTTCAGATTGAAGTAGTGAGTTGGTGGTGGAAAGTTGGATTTCAACACACACACAAGCGCCCAGCAAGGAGCCCCCACAAAAGTAAAAAAAAAATCATAAACTTGTATAAGGTTGGCTATTGCTGAGTCAATCCACCTTAAAAAAATAAACAACAACCCCAAGTTGAGGTTGCTGTTTCCCCCCAGAAAAAATATTATTATCATTAATAATAATGGAGACGTGGTGGCCAGTTTGATTGCTTTATAGCAAGCTGCCCCCCCTCGCCCCAAGCCGCGTGGAGAAACTTTTGCGCGCACGTGTGTATGTGTGCTAAAGGTGTTACGAGGCTGCCGGGGAAGTAGGGGGTGCAGGTTGGAGGTGGTGGGGAGAGAGGAAGACCACAACTCACATGAAAAACTCTGGAGAGGATGGGTTGTCGCTGCTGGAGCCGTTTTCTCTGAACCCATTGCTGACCAATTTCTCGTATTTTTCCTTGTAGGCGTCCCTCTCCCGGACCAGCCTGGAGATTTCCTGCTTGAGATGCTCCACTTGCTGCAGGAGCTGGTTCTTCTCGGACTCCAAGACGTGCCGCTGCTGGACCCTCTTGAAGCGGCAGGACTGCGCGTAGCCTCGGTTCTTGAGGGTCCGCCGCTTCTGCTTCAGCCGGATGACCTCTTCCTTGCTGACGCCGCGCAGCTGCCGGTTGAGTTCCCTCACCGACATGGTCACCAGCTGCTCGTCCGAGAAGCGGTCGTCGAAATGCAAGCTGCCGCCGCCGCCGTGGTGAGGGTGGTGGAGACCCCCGCCGCCGCCGCCGCCTCCTCCGCCGGCGCTGCTACTGCTGCTGCTGCTGCTACTGCTGCTGCTGCTGCTGCCCGAGGACTGCACGCTGCCCGGCTGCTGCTGGTGGTGATGGTGGTGGTGGCCCCCGGCCGGGTGGTGGTGGTGGTGGTAATGGGGCACGCCGCCGCCGTTCTGCTGCTGCTGCTGCTGCTGAGCCGCCGCGATCACCGCTGACACCACGGCGGCCGCCGAGCCCATGTCGTCGGGCTGCATGGATCCCCCCGGGCCGGCGCCGCCGGCTGCCGCTGCTGCGGCGGCGGCCGCGGCCAGCTGCTGCCCTCTAGCATAGCCATCGAAGCCCGGCGCGCTCTGGAGCTGGTGGTGGCTGTTGTTGATGAGCGCCTCCACGGCGTCTTCCGGGCTGAAGCCCAGCGCCTCGGGGTTGAGCTGCTGCGGGTAGCCGGTCATCCAGTAGTAGTCTTCCAAGTGCGTCTTCTGGTCGCTGCCGCCCGAGCCCGGGCTGGGCGCCGAGAAGCTGGGCGACGGCGGCACCGAGCTGCAGGGCGTGCTCATCGGGGTGGAAGAGAGCGAGCCCCCAGCGATCAAGCGGCCGCACTGGCTGATAATGCGGTCGGTCTCCACCGGCTCCTTTTTCACTTCAAACTTCATCAGATCGAAGTCATTAACATATTCCATGGCCAAGGGACTGGTGGGCAGGTCGGAGCTGTTCAGGGCCAGCTCGGATGCCATCCTTTTGCTGGGGGTGCCGCCGCCGCCGCCAGTCCTCCAGAAAGGGTGCACTCCCGGAGCGAGGGGGCTGCTCTGACTTGCGAGCGGGTGAGCCAGTTTGAGGCTTTGCAAGAGCTCGGCGCCGCTGCTCTCGGGGTGCCTGCGCGGCTCTCGCTCCCTCGCGCTCCCCCCGCGCCTGCCTGCCTGCCCGCCGCTCTCCCGCTTTGGCAAGGCTCGGCTCCAAGCTGCAGCGAGCTTCCCTTCGCGAAGAACAGCCACGCGGGTGCAGCCGGCGGACCGCAGGCGGCTGCCTCGCTCGCTCTTCTGCCTCTACTTAGTCGCCCTTTGCATCAGGCTGCGCTGGATTGCTTTGGCTTTTCTCTCGCTCTCTCCCCCTTCGCGCTCGCTCTCTCCTCTCCCCCCCTCGCCTTCCTCCCCCTCTCTCCCCTGTGCGCTCTCTCTCTCTCTCTGCTCTGCAGCTTTGCAGAGGAAAAAGGTTGCTTTAAGTTGTTGTTTGCAACGGTTGTTTGGATTTCTTTCTTTCTCAACACTTCAGGGTCTCTTTCCTTCTGGACTGCTTTCTCTTTTTTTTCATGCCCGGTGCAAAAACGAAGAGAGAGACAGTTTCACCATCAGGGGAGGGGGAGAAGGAAAAAATAAAAAGAGAGAGAGGAGGTAAGTAACTATTACTACTTCTTTAGAAAAAGCGAAAGAAAGAAAAAACCCTTGGAAAATAATACTGTCTGGGGTCAATGGTATGACCCAAAATAACAAGCAGGTTTTTTCCCCTTAAAAAAAGAAAAGAAACTCAACTCCCAAGCTCCAGCAACAAGATGAAAAAATATTTTAAAGAGCTCATCCAGGAGGAGAGTTTAAAAGCATTGCTGAGTTTTATAGCGCTCCTGACGTCAAGCTTTCAAATGGGAAATTGACTCCGAGTCCCGGCCAATCCGATGCCGCGAACCCGGCCCTCTTTAGCATAATAGTATAGAAACAAGGAAACTTTTCGAAGCTGTCAATCAGGGGCCAATCAGCTGACTGTCAGCTGGGACCAGAACTTTTTAACTCCTTCCTGACTGAAAGCGATTTTCCGGAGTCCCTCGGAAGGGGACTCACCATTTTTCATTCTTCAAAAGCGGGGGGCAGAGCCCCTATTTATCTCCACCGGGCATTACAGTTAGGAATAGAGAAAAGCCAAGGGGATGTTTTGTCTCGTGGCTGGGGATGGCTGGTGTTGTTCAGTAGGTAAGGATGCTCCCTAACCTTCCTTGCTTGTATGAGTGCTTGCATGCGTTGGCTTGTACATCTCGAGCTAACTTTTTTCCTAGGTTGGTAGCGTTTGCAAAAAAATACATAAATGTGTCTGTTTGGTTAACACTGATCTCCGCGTTGGGACTTTGCCCGGAGTTGTCCTAAGGCTTGATCTTCGCCCACCCTTTCCCCCCTTAAGTATCCCCCCCCCGTCCGCGTGGAGCAGACACGCGCTCACAGATTCCCAATTTCAAAAATTGCGAGGAGTGATCTAGCGAGGACACGTGCTAAAGAGAGCGAGGAGGCTGGGGTTCCACGGACTTCCGGGGGTGGTGGAAGAAGATTATACACCACACCAGCTCAATCTTTTCTTCCTTTCCGCGGGGAGAAGGATGGGTCAGTGGTGGGGATGAACGGTGCTGTTGGATGGCCCTCGTGGCTCCAACTCGCATCAGCATCTTTGGAGGATTTATGGGCTTGGGAAGAGTTAATCCGGAGAGCATTTCTCTCCAAGCGCCCCCCCCCCCGCATCCCCAAGCAGGAGCAAATCCAAGACTTTCCTCTTTGCAAATTTCAGACACCCTTTGGCCTTTGCTCCGGTGTCATGGAACCATCTGATTTCGCAAGCCGCGCCTCTGCTTCATTTTTTTTTTTTCATTTTTCTTCTTCCGATACCCGATCTCCCCGCCCACCTCCCATCGATGGATCTGCGAGAGGGTCAAAATGTTAAGAAAAGTTGCTAATTGCCAGCCACTGGCAGCCCGCTTCCCGCCTCTCCCCTCCCCAGCCGTCAATGGCTTTGCATAGTAACAAATAAAGTTTTGCCTTAAAAGATGTCCCAAGTTTTAAATGAACTGCATTTGAAGAAATAGCGACAGAGTCCCTTAATATTATTTATCCAGATCCTCTTTGGAACTGGGTGGCGATCTATTCATTTAATACGCAAAATAATAATAACAATATTAATAATAATCGCGTGTCGTTTCTTTCTTTTGGAGGGGAGACCAGGGGCGGGGGAAGGAATGTCGCCAAAAAACAACGCCGAAAAGCTGCGCGAAGGTGAAAAAATCCTGCTTGAATGGGTTCCGTTTAAACCTCGACAGCGCCACCTTTCGGCACAGATCGGTTTCGAGTTGAACCGCTTCCAATTTTTTAGATGAAGGGGAAAAAAATCCATAAAATAAAAGCCCTTTTTAAAAAAGAGAAAAAAGAAAGTTTAGAGCTGGCAGCGCTTGCACGACAGCCTGACATTAACCCCTCGGAGTCAATGGATTCTCGAAGCTATAAACCTCTATAATTTCTCTATTTAGGATGCAGCCTGCAGTATTTTTCTAGGAAGTGAGAAGGAAAGGGGATTGTTCCTGGTAGCGGTGTCTGTTCCAGGGATGTGTGTGTGAGAGAGAGGGAGAGAGATAAGACAAAAATCTTTAAAACTGCCAGCCTTGATTTTCAACTGACTTTATGGCAACATCAATAGAATTAAAGTTACTTGTAATTCAGTGATAAATGAGATGTCTCTAGTAAGTAAGATTAAGTGCAGTGCTATAAAGTTGTTTATCTGAAAAGTAATTCTCAGAAACCCGACTCCTGACACTTAGTCATATATTAAACCAGCCTTTTGAACATTGTACTTCAGTGCAATGGCTTCTGCATGTTTTCAGAATTTCCTGTTTAAAATTTTATACTAAGTAGCTGTTTGTAGAGGCTTCTCATCTGACTTCGAAGTCCTCATTCCCAGTAGTAACAAAATCCCAGGTTGGTAAAGAAAATATGTGGTTTGCGTATTCTGACATATCTTTGCAGTCAGGGTTTTTAATATCAAGGTATGCCACGTGTGTCACCCACAGACTTTTACACAAGACTTTTGAGTGTGTCACAAGCTGATAACAAAGCTGAAAAAATGTGTGTGAATGCTAATTATTGGGTGTCACTATAAGGGAATAATGTAAAAGCTGAGGTCTCAGGTGAAACTTGAGAAAACAGTATTTATGAGAAAGTTAATAGGATGTGTCCAGTTTGATTTCCCATTTTGGAGGACTTGGTTGGAATTGTCAACAAAAACTACTCACTCATCCTCATAAATCTCAACCACGACAGTCTAATTCCTTCTATTTGGTTTTTCCCGGAGCAAGATGAATGTTGCACGATAGATCACTTAGCTCCTTCCCTCCCATGAATCACAGCCATGTGTGAATACTTTTAAATGAAAACTTATTGCTCTTTGGCAATTCACACTTGCAGCAATTGCACGGAATTAGAAACATCTCCTCAGCGGGAGGGGCACAAAAACAAAACCAGTCTCTTTGGACAGAGGCATTTTAACATGCTATATCTCCAGAATTAGTGTGTGTGTGTCCCCCCCCCAAAAAAAACCTGAGTAAGCTTTGAAAGCTAAAACAGGGAATTCAAAGTACTGTATTGTGTGGCTAACAGAATCTGAGCTGATATTTAGCAATGCAAATAAAGTGCTGTTAACTCAACTGGGCTCTGGCCCCCAAAATATCAAATCAAATTACTGGTTATGCCAGATTATCCTTATTTGACTGTTTGAGGTGACGGGACTGTCAAATGTTGTCTATTATGTAGCACACCATGGGGACTGTGAACAGTTTTAAAGAAAACCTTCGAAAGGAAGACCACGACTGTCCTCTTTCCTGCAACATATAATTCTCATTTTGGCACCATTTTCCTGTATTATTTAGCTTCTCACAATGGATGTCTAAACATTTACAGTTCTCTATTAGGAGTGTTTCTTCTCTAACAATTGCACACTTTCATTTCAATTAGAGGCATTCAACCCTCTGTCTTTCTGCAGCAATGACAGGCCAAATTCCCTCAGTCTGCCCCCCCCCTTGCTATTTTTTGTTTGCTTGAAGTCTTTCTATCAATCTACAATCACTAATGCCCTGCTTTAATTGCCCTCTTGAAGAAAGCACAGTTTAAAACTGGGGTTCCACATGCTAACTTCAGTTACTTAAAAACCTCCTGAATTGGAGTAGATGCATGCATGTATGTCCGTGCTTGTATATATCTATTTATCTCTACTTATATTTATTTTCTGCAGAAAAGTACAAACGATTCAATGCAATATGTAACACTGTCAGTGTATCATCCCTGCCTCAGTGAGGGGGGCAGGGGAAGCCTCAAGTGCATATGAAAGACTTCCTTAGCTGAGTAAACAAGCAGAGGAGGGTTTAGAAAGTAGGCAATACACCTCTTGTGAGTTATATTGACTTTGAGTGTCATTTGTTATGACTTAAACAAACTCATCTATCAAGGCCAGCACATTAAGTACAGTTACTGCACCTTTTGTTTATCCAGTGTCTTATTTTATGGCGCAGAACTGAATGGTGTCCGCTGAATTTAAGTATGAAAAGCAACCAAATTGATTTCCCAAAGACTTCCACGGGGTAACAAAAGGCGAAGGCATCAACAGCTCTTAGGCACAGAGCTAGATAAATCCTTTTAACAGTGCTTCGGATCCGTTAACGGGGCAAGCAAATAACAAATCACTGTTAGCAGATTTACGAGAAAGAAATAATAGAATCAGACGAGATAATCTGATAGGGGTAAAATTGCTGAGGAAACAAGTCTTACTTCACATACATAGCTATGAAACAGCAGCCTGATAACTAGAAGCCATCACAAACAGGTGAATTATGATGGAAATAATCATCCTTGTAATTCAGTGTTTATTAATCCTTTTCTTTTTAAACAACTCACAGATGTCCAAGCAATGCGTCTCTCTCTTTGAAGATCCATTAATCACACACACATATTTATTGGGTGTAATTTACTATTTGTATCACCTGTATTTTATTTCATAATTGAACATTCTGCATTCAAATTTATGTAATGCATTAGGCCTGCAAACATATTTCTGCCTGATTAGCATAAATAGTCACTTCATGAATTACTAACAAAGTTGATCTGGAAAATATTGGCGTATTATTTTATTAAGTGGAACACAAACATATGTCCAATAAATTCTTGTTTTCTGGTGGCAGGAAGGAATACAGAATGATCCAGGCGGTGGTGTCTCAGTGTGGGGAAGAGGAAAGACTAAGCTGAGTTAATTTGTATGTATGAAATTAATTTGCCCTGTCAACCCTTCTGTTTATCTTTAATAAAGAGGAATGCCCATGTCTGCTTCAGAGGCATGAATCATGAGACAACAAAAGGCAGCAGTTATATACACACATATATTTGTGATTTCCCTTTTCTAATTTCTTGTATGGATTGCATTGTTTGGAGGTCAAATCTGATGCTGTATTTTGTTGATAATTCTGCTTCTTGTTGGGATAAATTGGAAGTTTGGTCTGAGACTAGCAGATTAGATCCAAATGCAGCTGCAATAACAAATTGAGTAGAAATCATATTCCAATTCCTTTTTCCACCCCCTTTACCTAATCACTGTGGCTTCAATCCAGTGTGCAGTTATGCATGCTTAAGCCCCATCGAAACCAATAAGAATCGAGCATGCATAATTATGTGCTGCATCACAGCGTATCCATTTAAACAACTGTGAAACTCAGGGAAACTCAGGGAAACCATATGATTTGGGTGTTGAGTGGAATCCTTTCCCCTCTTTTCTTAAGGCTGATTCTCACAAAGCGTGTTCTCATTAAAGAGAGAGCACGTATTGCGGATGGGGCCTGACAAAACATCCTCAGTTGCAGCCAGGCTGTGGCAAGGGAATTGAATTGATTGGTGATTGTTGTTACTGGGGTAAAAGTGATGTTGCCAATTAAGGGGTGGAGTCAAAGGTTATTTATACTGGGTCCACAGCTTGTTCCTTTCTCTTTCGCTGTGGACACCGGATCACCCGCCCGCCCTCCCTTGAATGGGCTTCTGCTTGACCTTGCTATTGCCTGTCATGGGGTCGTCCGCCTTGGTGCGGGGGCCTAGTAGGAATTTTTCCAATTGGCTGATTAGTGTGTGCCTTTTGGGTTTTGCCTACTACGTAGCAAATCGTCACAACTTGTAAGGTTGGCGGTTAGGCATTGGTTAAATTGGTTGGTGGAGGGGTATGGATTGGCTGTGCCTACCCCTCCAATGCTGCTGCGGCATGGGAATTCCGTTAAAGGAATTCTGGGGCTTACCATCCCCTTGTCCAAACCCCTGGAATCGGGTGCGGGCCGTGTAAGACCCCAAGGCGCATGCAGGGAGGAACTGAAGGGTCTGTAACGCAGCTCCAGTTGCCCTGCTTGTTCCTCCACACTGACTTACGCTGGAATCCGGGAGTCAGTGCTATCCCCCAAGGCGGGGGGGATAGCTAGTCATAACCAATGCCTACGCAACCACTCACAAAAATTTGTATGATAATAAAAGTTGTGGCCAAAATTATGCCAAAAACCTTAAACAAAAATTATGTGTGATGTGTGAGTTATTGGGTTAGGGATGGTTTTGGGGGACCTCAGCACGCAACTGACTACACCATGGCAAAAGCAGCTGCTGCTCAAATTAACTTGTACCCACTGATGCCACCGATGGCACATGCACACCGACCCTTTTGCATTCTGCTTTGAGTAGGACTTGCAGCAGCATGCTGGAAGTCGATGTACATCATGTTCTATTGACGGTCAGCTTGCATCTACTCATTTACACATACAGTACCAGGGTGGGGTGGGGAGATGGGACTTAGCTAAAGAAGATTTAAAGACTTCATACATTATCATCCAAATTACAATGTTCATCAGGGCACTCATGTGCTGGCTGGATGTGAATGGGCCTGTGCCATCAAAAACAAGGCCTATTTGTTGTACACAAGATGACCTGTTTATTGAGCATCCATCTTGATTTGTTTGCACAAAGCTTACACAATGTCTGGTCTTTATAGAGTATTCGTCCCGATTTGCTTTCAGTGAGATTATATGACAATGAGCATTTATCATGCATTCATCCTGATTTGCTTGTGTGGTGGCTATACGTCTTCCTGTTAATTATTCATTCTACACTTTTCAGTGCATTTCCCCATCACTTTCCTAACTGCAATAATTTATTTTTTTTAAGGGGATCCGTTGCACCAGGGTGGCAATTTAACCCACTTCAGTTTAATCTAAATTTCTGATATGTGCTTGAAACTCTCCTGCAAGTTGCTAACAATCTAGAGATTAATTTTTTTTTTTTTTACTATATTAGGTATGCATATAAAATAACACAGTAACGTGATATGGGCATACACAATAGGAAACTTCTTGTTGATTGTAGTTCCTTGGGGCGTGTACTCATCTGTGATGAGTAGGGAATGGGCAAATCTGTCCATTTTAGTTTCTCTCAGATTTTATTTTATTTTATTTTTTCTACACTTCAGTTCTCTACATTTCCACATCAGTTTGTGGATTATTATTTTTTAAAAAGCAAGTCCTCATGAAAATTCAGCAACATTTTAGTGCAAATGTCTCCTAATATGCACATATTTGCATGCAATTGTACATACTAAGCACGTATTTGTAAATCAGCTTCCCCTCTTTGCACACTCTGCCTTCATATATGCATTTTTGTACACATTACAGTGGTACCTTGGGTTACATACGCTTCAGGTTTCATATGCTTCAGGTTACAGACTCTGCAAACCCAGAAATAGTATCTCGGGTTAAGAACTTTGCTTCAGGATGAGAACAGAAATCGTGCTCTGGCAGCGTGACGGTAGCAGGAGGCCCCATTAGCTAAAAGTGGTGCTTCAGGTTAAGAACAGTTTCAGGTTAAGAACGGACCTCTGGAACGAATTAAGTACTTAACCCAAGGTACCACTGTACTTGGCTGGAGAACTGTACTGAAAAATTCAGAGAAGTGTGAATGTGTTTCAGTTTGTGTGTTGTTTCAAAAAGTGAATATTAGTTATGTTAGCCTGAAAATGTGAACTGAATCAAATTTCCCCCTATCGCTAGTGACAAGATATATTTTATAGATATCATGTAGGATACAGTGGAACAGAATTCACATCCATGGAACACGAATTCCCCACCTTTGCTTTCCTGCTGCATCTCCTTGCACCACCTGCATATCTGCTCCTGGGGGTAGAGTGACCCTTGGGAATACTAGGAAATGGTGCGTGGAGTTATAGATGGATGGGAATTGACATAAATTGCCCCTTCCCTTAGGGAAGCACATACAGCTGCATTACCAGTGATAATAGTGCTGAAACCAGTGATCTCTCCAAGGTGGGGGAGATCAAGGGTGCAAATCCAGCCTTTGCTCTTGCCTCCCACACTATGAACAGACTATTACCAAATAACTGACTGGGTCTATGCATGCATAACAGTTTACCTCTGCTTGTGGGTATTGTGGGAAGTGCGCTTGCAGCTTTTGTTTATGCAGTTCAGTATCCAGTTGCGCAGAGGAGAGGAACCTGTGGCCTACAACTCGCATCATCCCTGGCCATTGGCAGTACTGGCTAGGACTAATGGGAGTTGTAGTCCAGCAGCAGGTAGAGGAGATGCCAGTATATGCCCGCTGTGCGATCTGAGTGCACCTTCATAACCCACCACAAGGAATGTGGGTACATTGCAATAAATAGCAATGGCTAAGTAGCACTGTTGCACAACAAATGCGCCTTAAAAAACAACCTTTTGTGATAAGAAAAGTGACTGAAAACTGCAGTGGAAAGGACAGAGCAACAACGATTTGACGGTGACACCATGTAACCTCCATGCAAATTTTGTGAAAACAAATCAGGATGACTGCACAATACAGTGGTACCTCGGGTTACATACGCTTCAGGTTACATACGCTTCAGGTTACACACTCCACTAAGCCAGAAATAGTGCTTCAGGTTAAGAACTTTGCTTCAGGATAAGAACAGAAATAGGGCTCCGGCAGCGCGGCAGCAGCAGGAGGCCCCATTAGCAAAAGTGGTGCTTCAGGTTAAGAACAGTTTCAGGTTAAGTACGGACCTCCGGAATGAATTAAGTACTTAACCCGAGGTACCACTGTATATACTTCAGCGGGAAATGACCCAGATGTCAGTTTATGCACAAACAAAATCAACACCCCACTGTATAAAAGCACCCAGCTAGTATATCTGGGAGAATAGAGAGGTAAGTGTGCTATCTCCCCCCCCGCCCCCCGCTTTTGCTGTTCCCTGAATTTTCTTGAGACTACTATAATCCATTTCTCTGGCTACAGCTTTCTGACCAGTTGGAATGTGTGTACTTTCTCTTTCTTTTTCCAGGCTCATGAAATCTTTTTAAACCTACCCAGAGCATCAAATTGGACTCTGCTTGTTGGTAAATGTGGTAGCTTCCTCCTTTTCTCTTGCTGTTCTTTTCTCTAATGCCCCCACCCCAATCTATTACATATTTTAGACATAGATTCCAACCCCTCCTTATCATAAACTCCTCCTTTTTTAAAAAAGGAATGTCTAAATCTCAATGTAGTTTGCATATATGTGTTTGTGTTCCCTTTTGCTACAGCATTTATACAGTTTGATTATCCATTCCATGTACTTACCCCCCACAAAATATGCTTTTCGAAAACTTCATTGCTAAACAAATCTAATATTGTTTTGAACCCAAATCAGAAATTCTGACTCGTGTTGTAGCTAATACATCTGAAATATTTTTGAGTTATGGAAAAATTTAGAATTTTAATGAGATTTCACGTTTTATAAGAAGAAAGCTACCTATCTGCTAATCAGCAAATCAGATGTGATGGAAGATGGCAGGCAAATTTTAACAGCATTTACTAAGACACAAATTGTTAATTCTCATGTAAAATTATATATGTATGCTGTTTTTAAAATGCAAGTACTGAGAAGGGGGGGGGGAGAGGAGAGAGAACCTCATTAAATAAATTGAAATAAAGCTTTAAAGCCGAAAGTCAACAACTCATACTGAAGTTTTTGTTCTTTACAGCTTGAACATGACTTTCATGTGATTTTATGTTAAATTAACTGCTGTTTACTGTAGGTTAAACTGCAAACCATCAATCACCGATCCAATGCATATCATGTAATTCCTTCGGGGGGGGGGCAACTTGAATGCAATAGGTAGGACATAGGGCATAAGATGTCGTATCTTAACAACCCCGAAAAATGTGTTCTGATCAGTTGGGATCTGGGTACTACTCTTTCATTTCC